TCTAGTCCTCTCCTAGATCAGCCTGGCTTCTTGCATCCCTCCCACCACCACCTTTTGATCCGAGTCTGCTTCGGCCTGCAGCCTGGCCCTCCATCTGCTCCCTTCACCTCCTGCTGCCCATATCCTCCTCTGCCTTGCTTTTGCTTGTCTGGTGCAGAGCTGTCCCATCTTGCTAGCTGCCTCTTGGTGACAGCACTTGGTAAAGTCTTGCAGCCATGAGAGATGTCTAAATGGTGTGGGACTGGAAAAGGAGCCGGCCCTGGAGGTGTTGCAGGAGGGCCCCTTGCCCTGTGCCTCCCAGAGGGATGCGTCTTCTGTCTGAGGGCTGGAGTGTGCCAACAAGGCTGGCTTCCACAGGCGAGCATGCAGGGAAGAGGAGCATGGGGTGGCACTGAGCAGATGCACTGAAACAAGAGCAGGTTTCCCCCTCTAACAAAATCTGGAGCAAGTCAGCTGCCGGTGAGGAGGAGCCTGGAAGTTGGGCTCTGGGTATCCCAGACTGTGGATTCACATGCTGCTCAAATCAGCTTGCAAGCAAGCTTGCACAGCAGATGTCTGAGCCCGCTTGGCCGGGTTTGCAATCCACTGAGTTCAAAACTGCCACCTTGGCTGGGCTGCTCCAGTGTCACTGCGCGGGAAGGATGCCTGAGGCTGGAAATGGAGCTTTGCAGTTCATGGCTACTGAGTGAATTATTAAAATACAGTCCTCGGAGAGGAGATAACTTGCCTTAGAAGATGTCTGTGTCAACAGAGATAAATTGGATCTTTATGATGATGAAACTAGACTAAATAGAAGAGAATGAGGAAAATGACAAGTGGTGTTTTTTGGGCCATGGCTGTGGACTGGAGGTGTTTCAGGGATCTGAGCAGTGGGTGTTTTCCTCTGGGGCTGCTTCTGCCCCAACAAAAGCTTTTGCAGCCTGGAGGCAGGCTCAAGACGGGCGTGGGGTGGATGTGCTCGGCAGAGGCTGGGAGAGGGTCCTGGCGGCTCCGGCTCGTGGTTGCCGCTGGAAGTGCCTCCAGCTTTTGGCAGGCCTGGGCAAATGCTCTGCCCTGCGGAGGTTGGTGTGGGTAGCAGGATGTCGTCCTGACGCACTGTGAAGTCTGCTGGGCTGCAGTGCTCTTCCCAGGCATTGTTCGCTGCTTCCCTGAGGATGCTCCAGGTGAAATGGCTCCTGGAAGGCAGAAGGCTTGCCATGGCATCTTGTTGCAAAAGCCCCCAGAGATGCAGTGCTGCAGAGGATTTGGTGTGTCTGTGCATGGGAGTGTCCTGGGGCTGGAAGCAGCAGAGCTGCAGACCTTTGAGAAGTGTCTGTGCTGGAAGGGGGTGTGTGTGGCGGCAGGTCCTGCTGCTGGGCTCAGGGAGCTGGGAGAGATGTGTACATGGTTTTTTTTCCTCTCATAAATATGGATCCAGCCCGCCCATGCAAAAGTGCACAGGTTTAATTAATGAAATACTGATTTTCCTAGTGTGGTGCTTCTCTGATTTCACTGCACTGACTGGGATCCGAAAGAAACACAGGCATCAGCTCTTGGCCAAAAACAAGGGGCCTGGCGAAGCCTTTGCTGTGGTGTTTTGTGGGGTGCCTGAGGTTGCTCTGCCTGTCCCAGGGTCTGAGGTAGTAACTGAGCCTTCACTGTCCCTGCCTGCAGTGGGTCTGGCCTCCTCCAGGAGAGTCCTGTGGAGGGAGAGCTGGGTCCTCTGCCTGCCAGGAGACCTCACTGTTGGCTTGCCATCTGCAAAATAATTTTTCACCCTATTGCAGGATGATGGTGGGGCCTGAGGTGGCCAGTGAGGCTTGGATGGCCCCTGGGAGCTAGGTGTAGATCTGAGGGATCTGCTTCCCTCTCCTGGAGAGGAAAGCTGTGAGCACGGGAGGGCTGGTGGAGGCAGCGGGGGGTCCTGGGGTGGCTGCACCTGCCTGAGCCCAGCACCATGCAGGAAAGGCTGGATTCAAATACTGCATGCTTCTCCTGCCTTGCCTCATCCCTGCAGAGCAATGCTGGAATCCCTGGGGCTGTGCACGTGCCTCCTTTGCCCCGGTGTGAGAGCAGAAGCCATCCTCCGGTGCAGCCTGGTGCCAAGCCCTGCCAGCGTGCTGGAGCTCGGGCTGCACAGCCCCTCGGACCGTAGCGGTGGGGCAGTGCCAGGGGCTGCTCTGGCCATCATGCAGTGTCGCAGAGGGAGGGTGAGGGGACTGTGCCAGCCCAGGCTGTCAGGTGGCAGTGGCTCTGCGCTGGCAGCAGTTGCTGGCACAGCATGGGCGGATGCTTCCCTAAGTGTCCAGCACCTGTCTGTGGCCTCGCGGGGGCTGTTTTAACTGGTGTGCCAGGAAGACCTGAAAGCTTTTACTGCAGCCAGCTTTCCAGAGCATCCTTGCTCTGCTCCTCCATGTGCCTCTGAGCCCCTGGGATACTGCCCAGGGCCCCCCGGGGGACTGGGACTCCTGTGTGACGGGTGCCTGCTTTCTCATAGCAGCACCCTTTGCAATGCTGTTGAAGGGCCATTGCGGTGTGAGCAGCGTGGCCTAAGTTGCCATTCATCTTCCTTGGGAACCCCCAGGATCTAACCGGGAGGATGCACTGGGCTGTGCCAGGCTGGAGCTGCTGGATTTGGGAGCAATCACGTTGCATGATGCATCTTCCTTCTCAGTGTGCCACTGTCCCCAGCTGTGGGATGGCAGCTTTGCCCCTTGTGCGCCCTGCTTGTGCTGCCAGAGGGGGTCTTGCCTGCGAGGGTGGCAGCGAGGCTGCAGAGGGATGGGGACCCCATAGGCCATGCTTTGTTCCTTGCAGGTCACGGCAGGAGCATGAGGTGGTGAAGCTCCCTGTGGTGGGACTCGCTGCTGCTGGGGTCCTGCCGCCCACTCCTTTCCTGGCCCCACAGCAGGTCCCGTGGCAGCCCTGCCCCTATTCTGTCAAGGGCCAGCAGGTTACAGCCGTGGCGGTTTTTAATTAAATCAAGCCACACTGGCGCAGTGGCCCAGCCGTGCCCATCTGTTCCTCCAAGCTGTTGGGCGCATGGCGCGGAGGCGAGCGGAGTATCTAGGTCGTGCTGGGGGGTGCAGTGCGGCGGGCCGGAGGGGCTCTGCCACAGGGGCCGACGGGGGGGCTCTGTCCCCCACCCTGCACAAGCCGCTAGCACATGCCCGTGGGCAGGAGAGCCGGACACGGCTCTGCAGCTCTCACAGAAGCATGGTCTCCGGTGGTCCCAGCTGTACAGCTGTGAGCCAGGGAGGAAGAAGAGAGGTTGTCAACATGGCCAAGCCCGATCTTCGGTGGGTCTGTGTGGTGCCCTGTGTGTCACCCAGTGTGGGGGTGCAGGTGGCATCACCTGGCCCCTGCCCCGGGGGAAACACAACCTGCTCTGTTTAACCTCTCTCCACACTAATAACCTTAATGAGGCCAGTGCTGTGGCAGATGATGGTAATTGTATTAATTAAGAGATTGAGTCTGTTCTGTGTGAGTTTTAGACCCTGTTCTCAATTCCATGCAAGTTGGAGTGTTTTGAGTTTGGACAACAGTGGCTTGCAACAACCTAATCCCCTAATTAATGGTAGTAGCAGGGCAAAGGCATCAGTAACAGAATTAAAACAAGCTGACAGACAGATCTCCCCAGTCAGGAGGAGTAGACAGAGAGCCGTAGCTGAGCTGCAGACCCCAGTATGTGATGTGGCAGAGACCTGTCCCCCACAGTGGAGGGGGGTCCCGCTTGGCTGTTGTCATCCCCAGCACTGGGGGTCCTGGTGCTCCTTGCCAGTGTTCCTGCTGTGCCCGGGCCTTGAGTGAGCTGGAGATGTATCAGGGCAGAGCCTGGGTTGCGATCAGCAGTTGGGAACAGGCTGTGGGCACTCTGGCTGGCTGGCGTGTGGGGAAGGTTTGATCACCACCTGTAAATATCTGCAGGGAAGGAGATGTGAACCAGAGGCTCTTCAGCTGACCAGGCAGGAGTGTAGCAATGGCCGAGGGCTGGCTGTCAAACTCAGGCAGGTGGAGAGGAGCAAAACTTCCAATAGCAAGCATGAAATGTTAGCATTAGTGATGGGAAGTTTCCTGGGGCTGGAGAGAGAGTCTTTACCCTGGGAATATTTTTAATCTGAATTTGATGCATCTCTGGTAATCATGGGTGCTGGAAGTGGGCAGGGAGGGATTCATGCACTTTCCAGCCCGGGCTTTCTTGGAGTTTAACACGAGCCAAGCAGTCCCTGGGAAGCCCGGCAGCCTTGTCCTCCTGCCCTCCTCCAAAACCTCTTCAATCCTGCCTGCTCCCTGCAATAGCTTTGGGGAATTTGCAATGTGAGCAAAAGAAAATATTTCCCTTCACTGTTCTGAGTGGAAAATGGGGAAATTCAGCTGAAGCTGCTCCCACCCCTCTCCTTCCAATAACTGGCACTTCTCCCAGGCAGTGAATATCATGCAGGAAAACAAACATGAAATTAGGACTGCACTGCTGGCTGTGTGGGCACACAGGCAGGATCGCCCAAGGCTTGGGGGTCCTGAGGATGAGTCCCTGCCTAAACATAACTTGAGCTGAGGCAGAATATGACAGTTTGTGAAGCCCCGTGTCCAGCACATGAGCAAAGTGCAAACAGCAGCAGCATCTGTGTTCCTCCCTCTTGTCCATGTGGCTGCCTGTGGGCCCAGCTGGGAGAGGAGGGTGTGCAGCCCCCAGGCTGGGAGAGCCAGCGTTCCCCTTCTCCCTGTGCAGCTCAGCTCACTGGCACATCAGCTTTCCCAAAATAGCTGTCCTTGGGGCAGGCGGTGAGGGGGGGGGGGGATCTGATCCTGTTGCTGCTCTTCTCTGCCCTTGGGCTGCTTGGCAGTGTGGAGCCCTCTGAGGAGCCTGAAGGAAGCGAAGGACAATGTCTTAGCTGAGGAAACGCAGTCTGGGAAGGGACGTGCATAGCCCAAGAGCAGCATGAGCAAGAGAAAAATCCCCTTAAGGAATGACATGGAGAGTGGGCCACTGACTGCACCCCACAGGCCACGCTTAGTGGACCATGGATGCTTTTGCTGGAGGCAGGGGTGGAGATGGTCAGTGGAGCATCCCATTGCATGGGATGCTTGGCACAGAGGCACCATGGGTGTGAGCTCTGGCTTGCTATGACTGCCAAGATGGTAGAGCAGAGCTTGCTGCCTCCCCAGGTGCCTGTGCTGGTGCCAGGATCTCCTGCTGCCTCCTGGAGTACCCTTGCTCCTGCCTGGATCTGCTCATGCCTGGTAGGCACCAGCTGCCTGTATCTTCCAGCAGCCCCAGGGGCTGTGCTTAGAGCCAGGCCTGACACTGATGTCTGTGCAGGTTGGCATGGAGCCTACTGCCTGAGGACAGTAGCACCCCGGGAGCAGCCGTCCCAGCAGGTGCTGCAGGTTGGGTGGCAGGATGTGTCCAGCCTTCTGTCCTTGCTTCTGCAGCTGTGACAGGGCCATTCCATGCTGGGGAATGGGATCGCAGTGGGAAACCTGGGCTGACACATGCCCATGGGCAGGTCCCTGTTGTCCCCAGGGTGCACAGGACAGCTCTGCTCCAAGCATGCTGCCTGTGCAATAGAAGCCCTGGAGAGGGACACTCACCCATGAGCACATGTGTGTGTGCACATCTGTGCTCAAGGGGCTGTACAGATGCTCCCAGATATACACATGTGCACACTGGCATACACTCACACTGACAGTCTCCCTGGATCCAGCCAGACCTCTGGCAACATCTGCTCCTCTTCCCCATGCCCCTCCATGCTGCCACTGAGAGCAGCTGACCCAGGGTGACCTAGTCCCCCTACTCCAGTCTGTGTAGCCTGGCCATCCAGGGCTTGGGGTCAGCTGGAAAAAAGGTTGTCCCAAGCAAGCTGTGTTCAGCCCAGCACTGGAGCCCTACTTGTCCCAGGGGTTTTGGGGACACTGCTGTGTTCCTCCCTCCCTTCGTTTGGTTGCTCAGTGATGCTCACGCACACCTGGGGAGAGGCAATGCCCAGGGCCCCTGCTAACCTCTCCTGTCTGTGTCCAGAGAGCCAGCCCACGACGTCGGATGAGACTGTGGTGGCCGGTGGTACAGTGGTGCTCAAGTGCCAGGTGGAGGATCCTGATGACTCCTCACTGCAGTGGTCCAATCCTGCCCAGCAGACCCTCTACTTTGGGGAGAAACGAGGTACATGTGCAGGAACTGGGGATGGGAGAGGGCTGCCTGGGGAGAGGAGCCAGCTCCAGGACCAGAGCAATGGTGAGGCAGAGGGAAAGCGGACCAGGGCCGGTGGTGCCCCAGAGGGTGATATTCCCTCCTGCTTCCCACCTACAGTGATGCCACCAGGCACAATATGAGCTAGCAGAGGGGTGTGGTGATACTGAACCAGTCACTCACCCTGTTGTCCCTTTTCCCCCAGCCCTGCGAGATAACAGGATCCAGCTGGAGAGGTCCACACCTAATGAGCTGACCATCAGCATCAGTGATGTGGTGCTGTCGGACGAGGGCGAATACACCTGCTCCATCTTCACCATGCCTGTGCGGACTGCAAAGGCCCTGGTCACTGTGCTGGGTAAGCCACTGGTGGCAGCCCCCGCACCTGCTCCCATCTCCTGCCAGCTACTGCCCTGCCTGCAAGATGCTGTCCATACAGCTGTTCATCTCTGCTACTCCTGTATACCTACCTACCTGTTAACTCATCCTTGCAATGTTTATTGACATGTCTCTGCATGTGCATCCGTCTCTGGGTGGCAGCATACACACAGCTAATAGGCTGTTGTATTTCTTGCCTCTTCTGCCAGGAATCCCCCAGAAACCCCAAATCTTTGGCCATGAGCAGCCCATTGATGAGGAGAAGATAGCCCGGCTGACCTGCCGGTCCTCTGGCAGCAAGCCCGCAGCCCAGCTCCGGTGGAAGAAGGGCAACAAGGAGCTGACGGGTGGGTGCCCAAGTAGTGGGGCTTTGCCCCAAGGGACTGAGGTGGCTGGGGAACACCATGGAGGCAGGTGGGACACCAGGGGTTGCAGATTTGCCCAGTGCTTGACCACACTGGCATCCTATGCTACTGCCAACAGAGGGATGGGGTCAGGATGTCTCTTACTCAACATGCATGTCAGCCTCATGCCTCTGCTGGGGTACTGTGTTCATCAGCTCTAACAGTCCGCTGTCCCCACAGACGAGGGCACCGAGGTGGTGGAGGACCCCAACGGAAAGACCTTCACCGTGAGCAGTCGGGTGGAGTTCCGCGTCACCAAGGAGGACAACGAAGCTGAGGTGACCTGCACCGTGGACCATGAGTCCCTGCAGAACTCCGAGAGGTCAACCACACAGAAGCTGCAGGTCCACTGTACGTGGTGCATGGGGATGAAGGGACAGGGCCACCTGGGGAAAGGGGACAGGGCTGTGGAGAAGTGGGAGAGATGGAGGAGGCCTCAGTATTACCATAGTTCAGCAGACATCACACACGTTGCCCTACACTTATATGTACATACAGCCATTACACATACATGCATACGAGCTCATCAACCTGCATGCACAGCGGTCACATGTAGGGGAGCTGTGCAGTGACACTTCCCCTGCACGTGCCCACCCTTGGTTTCCCCTGCCTGTCCCTGTTTTCTGCCTGTCCCCATCTCCCTAAGACTTGTCTGTGCCATCCCCTGCTACCTGCCTGCACCATTTCCCATGTCCTGCCTGTTCCCATTCCCCTTGTCTTGAGTGTCCCCTGTGATCACAGGGTGAGGGGACGTGGGAACTGCACTGTGCACCCCCAGAGTGCCGACCCCCATCACTGTGCACCCTACCACCCACAGGTGCACTTACACTGCACTCTTGCAGATGCAGAGCTGAGGCCGAGACAGGGTGCAGGGGCAGGGTTTTGGGGTGCCAGCAGGCCCCTGCACAGTGTTGGGCAGGGACAGGCAGTCACCCAACTGTGCCTTTCCTCCTTTTTCAGACAAGCCGACAGCAAAGATCGAGCCGCATCCCCAGTACCCGCGGGAAGGCGAGAAGCTCCAGCTGCAGTGCGACGGGCAGGGCAACCCCATGTAAGGCCCCCTTTTCAGCCCCACCAGGCCCTGGCCAACTCCTCCTCCCACTGCCAGGCTCCCGAAACCACCACTTAGCTCTCCCCAGAGCTTGGGCAGGCATTGCAGGTAGCACTGTATGGGCTCAGGGCCAGGCACTGGCCTTGCATTGATGCTCCAGGTAGAGCCAGGCACCCCCACAGAGAACAGGCAAAGCCTCTGTTTTCTCCCTCGAGCAGCAGATCCATCTTGGCTCATCTCTAAACGGGGTATTTCCCTCCTGTTTAAATACTTCCACGCCTTCGTTGCCCCCTCCACTGCCCGGCCAGGGACTCCACTTTGACCCAGCCCACCCAGGGTGCTGGGGAGAATGGCAGTGCCTCACCACTATCCTGCTCTGCAGCCCCCAGGAGTTCCTGTGGGAGAAGGAGGGCAGTGATGCGCCCCTGCAGCTGAGCTCTGACAGCGTCCTCATCTTCCCCTTCCTCAACAAGAGTGACAGCGGCACCTACGTCTGCACAGCCACCAGCTCCATGGGCAGTGTTGTGGCCAAGTACAACCTCGACGTCAGTGGTAAGCGGGACCACAGGGCACCTGGCATCACCCAGTTTCTCCTGGCAGCTGCTGGTTGGCACAGCCGCTTCCGTTGCAGCTGCATCTGCCTGTGATGTGAAGGGGTGCACGGATCCAGGGAAGGCTATGGTCAGAGCGGGGCTTTGTGGTGCAGGGTGGGTGCATGCATGCAGCTGGGTCTTGGTGCGCTCGCTGGCAGAGCACTGTATCTCCAGCTCCTCTGGCCGCATCCAGCCCCTGCATCCTTCCCTGCACTGTGCAGGGCCACTGCCTGGGGCCAAGAAGGGCAGAGAGCAGTTTTGGGGGGTGTTGGGGTAGGGACACCGCATGGCCCAGGCTGAGCTCAGTCCCTGTTGCCTCTGATGGGGAGTGGGGATGTGATGGGGGAACTGCAGGGGCTGCAGGCAGGACTCTGCTGGAGTCTCTGGGACAGGAGGAGAGACCAGTGCTCCTGAGCCTGTCAGAGGCAGGAAGCCTCTGTATACTGCCACCACAAGCCAAAGAGGATTTCCAGGCAGCGCTGACCATTTCAAACCATGAGGTGCCCTGGCAGCCCTGTCCCAAGCTTCTGGAGATGGGCCTCATGGCTTGCCCTGAGCTACTGGAGCTAGAGGCTTGCATTGCATCCCACGTCCCCAGAGTGTATCACCACTTGACACCCATTCTTGCGTGGGAAGGGGCAGCACCTGCCACCTCCCCGCACGGTGCTGTCCCCTCACCACCCCCCCCACCCCGACTGTGCTCTGCTGCCATGTTTGCTGTCGTTGTGCCCTGCTACGTCCAAGCACCGTGCGTCACACGTGGAGCAGAGCTGTACGCTGCACAGGGCTGCAAGCGCTTCTCCAGCCCATCCCCGGCTGGTGGCAGTGCTGCCCTGGTTCCTGTGCTCAGCACCCAGGCCCTTGCCCGGCAGCTTTCCCATGTTGGTAGGAGCCTGTTTCCCTGAGTTTTTGGCCTTGGATTTGGGGTTATCCTCCTCTTCTGCCAAATCTCTTGCTATCTCTCTCCTCTCTACCAGCCTTGGACTTTCCATCTTCCAGCACTCCTACATGTTCCAGCTCTTCCCTTTCCCATCCCCTTTCCCTCCCCTCCTGTTTTAAGCACTCTTGGCGTCCTTCCCTTCCAATAAGGCTGTGGGTAGAGGGAGCACATGGCAGCAGTGTGCACCTTGGGCACCCTGTCTCCCTGAGTCCCTTTCCTCTGCCTGCCCAGGATGAGCCCCTAAATGCCTAAGCCTGTGCAGTCGTTCCTTCATCACCCCTTGTGTCCTGCCCCCATCCCCCTGGCTGCGGGGTCTGCCCAGGGAGCTGGTTCCTGAGCCTGGCTGTGAGAACCCAGCAGCACCCAGAGCCCTCCGCATCTATCCAGGAGCACAGCAGCCCCTGGGGTGCTCAGCACCCATCCACTGGCTCACAGCAGCGTCCAGGGTGCTTGACACTGTCTACGAGCACACGGCACCCAGAACACCAGTGTCCCCCACCTGCTTGGTGTCACAGCTCCTGGCAGAGGAGCTCCACACCTAGGGTTGGTTCCCCTTGTCAAATCCCACCTCTTTTTGCCCAGAGCCACTCAGGTCTCAGGCATCATCACTGGAGCAGCCACCTTGCCCAGCTGAGCCCTCAAGCCTGCCTGCCGCAGCGGCCACCTTGCTCAGTAGCAAGGGAGAGCAGAGGTGGAGCGATCCCTGAGGGTGTGCATAGAAAAGTGTAGGTGGCATCTCATGGTGGGAGACACTTTACAGCCACCGCAGTCCTAGGGCTCCCAGGCAGGAGGGTCCCAGTGGGGTCTCTCATGGAGGAAGGTGTGACTGGGCGTGCTGGCAGGGTAGGAGATGGGGGAAGATGTTCACAGCAGTGTGTCCCAGAGGACGGTGGCAGGAGAAGAGGAGCAGGACCCATGGCCAAGAAAGGGGTTGTGGAAGGAGCTGCTGAGAAGAATGGGTCCCATCAGGCTGGGGAGAGCCAGGGTCCTCTCCAATGAGCTGTGTCACCCCTCACTGGTACCTACCAGGGTTGATTCGTGTCCCTGTGTTTTTGTCGTCCTCCCCAGATCTTTCCCAGCTCCCCACCCCACATGTTCACTCCACTCCAGCCCCTCCGCCAGGCCCTTCCCAGCCCATCTCTCATGCTTCCATGGCCACCGCTTCATCCTTCACTCCAGCTCCCATCCAAGGTACCGTAAGCTCCTTTTCTCTCTCTTTACGGACCCACTGCTCACCAGCCCAGCGGGAGAAGCTCCACAGGAAGATGGTGGCCCAGCCCTGGACCAGGGACACCCTTGCCACGTCCCAGGCACCCAGCCAGGCTCCAGTCCCTGTGCAGCTGCTTGTTGGCATGTGTGGACTCGGCAGCCACCATCTCAGCACTTTGAGGTGGTGGTATGCAACAGAAAGAGCTGAGGCCCCAGAGCCTGGGCTGCGTAATGGTCCTTCCAGCTCTTCCTGGCAGGTTGTGGCAGCAGCTGCCTGTGAGCTGCAACCTGTGCCTTGTATATGTGTGAGATGTTGTCCCTTTGTCCTGTTGCCTCCTCTGTTGTCTTTTCCACCCTGTCCCGTCTGAATGCCCCCTTTGAATGTTTCTGTGGCTGTGTCCCCTCCAAGCTGACAGGGCACAATGAGAGTGGAATGGAAGGAGGATTTGTCCCTGTGTACCAGGGCTAATGCAGGATCCCAGCGCAGACTGTGCTACAAGATGCAGCTGACTTGGGACTGGCCTTGGGGTTCCGCCTTGGGATGCAGTGTGTGGCCATGCCAGCCTGCACATCACCTTCCTGCTGGCACAGCACAGGGGAAGAGTGAACCAAGCCTGGCTCTGCAGTGTGCTCAGCCTCCCCTTTTGGGGCAAAAATCCCACGGTGAAGGATGGGATGGTGGGATCGTGGCCATGCCTGAAGGCAGAGGTACTACAGGCTGCACAGAGCATGTTGCCGGTGCTGCTCTCTGGGGCACATCACAGGCAGCTGGGCATGGGGATGGGTTTGCCCGCTGCAGCTCTTCTTGGCTGCCTTCTCATCCAGGCAGGGCTCCCAGTACAGCCATCGGGGCTCCTCTTGGCTCACTCCCTGCAGGAGCCTGTACCAGTGGCCATTGCTTCTCTTCCTTGCTTCCCCCGCTGCCTTCCCTTTTCTTACTCCCACCTTGACAGCTTTCGTCTGCAGCAAGATCAAGCTGATGGCACTGAGCCAAGCAGGATTGGGCCCTCCAAGGTGACCGTTTGCAGCCCTGAGTGGTCCGTGGGACGAGCAGCAGCAGCCTCTGCTGCTCAGCAGGGTGTGCAGCATACCTTCTCTCTGTTTTCTCTCCCTTTGCCATCTGGGCAGATGCCAGCCCGGTGCCCTCGACCTCCAGCACGTACCATGCAGTGATCGGCGGGGTGGTTGCTGTCATTGTCTTTCTCCTGCTGAGTCTTCTCATCGTGTTGGGGCACTACCTGATCAGACACAAAGGTACGGGGCAGGGGAGCTGCACGGGGGCCAGGGGGCAGAGCCAAGACCCCTGTGCTGCATCAGAGCAGGCAGCACAGGGCATGCTCCCCCCTCGATGGGTCGCTGGTAGCAGGGATATATCCCCGAAGTGAGCAAGCAGCGTGGGGCAGGGGTGAAGAGAGGCAGCTCCCCATCCTGCAGACCTGCCACTGTCCGGACAAATGCAGCACAGCCAGTGCTCCTGGGTTTGGGAGCTGCTGCCCGTGCCCATGCTGGCACCAACCCCAGCGTGGAGATGTCCCAGTGAGTCCTTGGAGCTGAGCAACAAGAGGTGGAGGCAGGTCCTACCCTATTTCTCTATCTCTCCTTCATGGCTTGGTACCCACTGCCCTGGGACTGCCCGTGCTACTGTCCCTGTCTGTGCCTGAACCCATCTCCTCCCTCTCCCTCCCCTCCTCGCTATTCCTCCAGCCCTCTGCCTTCCTCTTCCTCCTTCTCCACCATTTCCATCTCCCCATCCCTGGACTTTTCATCCGCCCAGCAGGTATGTGCATAAGACACGGGGAGACGGTCACATCCAGACATCGGCAAAACCCAGCAGAGGTGATGTGTGAGTAAGAGCCCCCCATTCCTGCCCTCCGAGCTCAGCCAAGCTGCTGCTTCTGCCCCATGCCATGCTGGTTCTGGGGGCAGCTGGGAGCTGGAACCTCCTTGCAGATGGCAGTTTTGCAGAGAAACCCTCCAGTTTTCTGAGGAGGAACAGGGACAGGGATGCAGGGAGGGGCAGATGGTGGGGAGGGCAGGAAACGTGCCTGGAAATGCAGGCAAGGGCTGCTGCCTCCAAAGCAGGAGGCAGTTTCATCCTCTGGCTAGAGACAACTGTGAAGGCCTTGAGCAGCCCAGGCAAGGTTCAGTCCCCAGGCAGAGCTTGTCCCAGGGAAACTGGTGACTTTTCTATTTCAGGCCAAACCCAAAGGACTTTTCTCTCAACTCTGCTTTCCAGCCAGTCCTCAGGCTCTGCCACGGGGGCCCCTCAGGCAGCCCAGCCTACCCCTGCTTGCATGGGAGCGGGGTGCCAGCAGGCCCCCCCGTGACGCTGACCCCCTCTCCCCACCCAGGTACCTACCTGACCCATGAGGCCAAGGGGTCGGATGACGCCCCAGATGCCGACACGGCCATCATTAATGCAGAGGGCGGCCAAGCCGGCGGCGACGACAAGAAGGAATATTTTATCTAGAGGCGTTGGAGAGAGCGAGAAATGGAGCCAACAGACCCTGATGGAAATGGAAACCAGACCACAAACCCCACTCAACCCAACTGATTTTCTCTCGCGCCCAGCATGGGCAGACAGATGGACAGAGGGATGGCAGGACAGAGAGCAGAGAGCGACCAGCCTGAGACATGATGCTTCTTCTTGAACTTGTACAAAACGTTATTACTACGAACAGCGAGAGCCCCGGCCCTGTTTGCTTGCTTGCACCTCCATCCCTGCGACCGGCGCTCGCGCAAAACACAGACCAACCAGTGAGTGAGCGACTTTCCTTCTTCCTTTGGACCTTTGCTTTGGTTTCGTGGCTGCTCTTTGCTTTGGGCCCTTGGTTGGGATGTTGGGCTGGGGTCGATGTAGCTCTTCCCTTTGTTTCTCTCCATTTTGGTTTCTTTGACATCCAAGGATAAAATCAGCTCCAGGCTCTGGTGCAAGCTCGGGGCAGCTGGGTGGCCCCTCTGTCATGAACGCTCGCCCCATGCCTCCCACTGAGAGCTGGGACCCACATTCCCACTGCTCCCCCCAGCCTTGGCTGCTGTGTGATGGCCCCGGCCCCAGCTGGAACGGGGAGCGTGGCCAGCGGGACAGGAGCAGGATGCCAACAGGCAGTGTCTCTGCCTCTGAGGTCTTGGCTCGTGGCTGGGGTCAAGCGGGGAGGGACCCCAGGCCCCTGCCCTGATTTTATCCTTGGTGGTTCTTGTCGAACAGTGTCCATTTGGGAGGAGAGCTGTCCTCGTGCGCTAGATGTGTGAAGGGGGGGTGAGCTTCCAGGGTGGGAACCGCTGAGGCCCCCAGAGAGACTGGGAGCTGCCAAGCATTGCAGCTCCCTGGTCCCACCCCAGCGGGAGGGGGGAGGGCAGAGATTTGGGGGCGAATCCAGAGAAAAAGCCCCAACTTTACAAATTCTCAGATTGGAAATATCAATTCAAACCATCTATTGAGATGTTCAGTGCAGGAGGCCACCTGCGCTGGGAGCACCAGGCAGAGCCGGGAGAGCCGGTGGGCCTGCGACCACTGCCGCTTCCCTCTTCACTGGGCTGGGTCTGCGGCCCCCAGAGCCTCTGGAAAGGTAGTTTAGACCCTGAGAGTGGCTTGAACTAGAGCTGACACAGCTGATGGCACCACGGGAGCTGAGCTGGAGACAACCCGCTCCCCAGCGCTAGCAGCCCAGTGTGGCACGAGGCCTGGGATTCCTCTGGCCAAGGAGATGTGCAGAGAGGGGCTCCACCGGGGTCTGCTTCTTGGAGCTGTCTGTCCCCCTTCCCTCCCGAGCCTCTTCCCAGAGCAGGTTTGAGCTTAGAAAAGGCCGCTTCCCGCTCAGCTCCAAGGGCTGCAGCCAACAGCGGCCGAAATGCCTGGGTTTAGTGTCTCGGTAGTTTGGGGGTCTCCAAGGAAGCTTGGGGCGGGGCTTGCCCTACCTCCTACCTGTTTCACTGTCTCTTCCAAGACAAAAACAAGAAGCTTTCCCAACCTCTCCAGCGTGTCCCCAGGGTTTGCTTGGCCCACCCCAACCACAGACCCACAGGGTGGGGCTGCAGGGGGCTACGCACTCCAGCATCTGCAGGACACCCCATACCCCCTGGGGAGCCAGGCCCCATCCCTCACCCTTGGGATGAGGTTTTCCAGCTTCCCAGGACCTCTTGGTCTGGACACAAGGGGTTTGCAGGAGCTGCCCTTTGGCTGGGCACCCCTTCGATTTTGGGTTGTCTGGAGGAGGAGAGCCCTTTGGGAAGGAGCAAAAGCCCTCAGTGGTGTGGGTAACCTCACCTTGGAGGTAGGAAGAGCTTGTGTCCTCTGCCGTGGGGTACCAGGGGCCTGTGGGGCAGGTAGTGTCGCTGACATCCAGACCCTGCGAGCATGTGACACAAGGAGGACGCTGGCAGGGAAGCCATTGCAGAGCAAGCGAGGCTGGAAGGGGGCTGGGGCCAAGCAGATGAGGAAGAAGAGGCATGGCTCGGTGGCAGGCACAGGGTGTGAATGAGTGATGCATTTGTGGCACGTGCACGGATGTGACTAGGTTCACCGTGGCTAAATCGTGTGTCAGGAGCACGCAGGCAGCAGTGTGTTAGCATCTCAAGAGAGAAGTGCACAAAGCCTTCGTCATACATGGTGAAGAAAACCTGCAGTTTTCTCGATATTGTTCTTCCCATCTTTTTGGAGAAGGATGTTGGCCTGGAGTCCCAACGGTAGCTCCGAGCTCATTTCGAGGGATGCAACCGTTGCTGCCGGAGATAACACTGCAGATGTCGATGCTGTTAACTACTCCACTGCACACTGAGCATGTATGAATGTGCGACCTGACGCTTTGCTGAAGATCTTTAACGTCCACTGTTGAATAGACGTAATTCCTTCAAATAAAAATGCAAGGATGTGTTTTCAAGTATAATTTAATCTCATTGTAAGTCTACGTGCTGTAGATGGTTACAAAGAAAGCCCCAGCCTGGGGGTCTGGGAGGGAAGGGGGTTAACTGGTCCCTAGGGAAGGGGATGTGGAATCTGAAGTCAGACAGGGAGGTTTGTGCCCCTCAGAGGCAGCATGTGCATGGCTGTTTCTCCCCAGCACTGCTGCTCCAGAGCTGCTTCAAGGGCTGGCACAGGTGGTTGCCACTTTACCCTGGTCAGAGAAGTGAGGATTTGGCCTTTTTGAGATGCTGCATGGTATGGGATGTGGCAGGATGCAGCAGGGGGAGGACTGGGCACAGGCAGGGCATTGTGGGGGGGGAACCTGCTGCCTGTGGCAGATGTCATCAAAGGATGGGCTGGGTCTCACCCCAGGTGGGCCCATTGTCCTGCCACAGCAAGAGGCTAAGCTACAGCCCCAGGTGTTGCAGGTCCTGGGAGTGGTGGGAGCATGAACATGAGGCTGCATCTGCAAGCAAGAGCCAAAGGGCTCTTTTTGCAAGGGAGCAGTAGTCCCACTGCCATGGGTGTGAGGGCAATGGAGACCCCATGTCATGTGAGGGGTGACAGATACACCGGGTCACACGTGTGAAGAGAGAGATGCTGTGGGATAAGCGCAAGGGGTGATGGGGACACCATCATGAGATGATGCATGCTGCGATGGGGCATGTCATGGTGTGGGCGGGTGCGGTGATGGTGCACCCATCATGATGCTGATGGAAGGTGTGATGGGACACACCATGTTGTGAGCATGATGGAGAAACCACGTTGCAGGTTTGAGGCACTGATGAATAGATTGTCATAGGTGTGAGGTGTGGTGGAAAACACCATTTTGGGAGCCCAGGGGCATGGTGGGGTACGCCATGTGTTGAGTCTTTTGGGGTGATGAATACACCATGTCACAGGTGTGCAGAGGAACAGCAACACAGCCATGAGTGGGGGCACGATGGGTGTCAGTCGTAAGCTGCACCACACCATGAGTGTGTTAGGATGATGTGAGGCAGGGGTGATGGGGTGCACCCTGTGTTAGGTCTGGGGCACGTCCTGCTTGTACTACAGCGCTGCGCACACGTACACCAGGTCAGGTCTTGCAAGGGGGGTTGGGTACACCATGTCATAAGTACAAGAGGTGATGTGGGTTGCATGAAGGGATGAGAAGCTATACCTTGATGCTAGCTAGCATGGGGATGACACCACACACTGTCAATGGTACGGGAAGGCGGCGGGGTACATGGTGTCACTGATGTGGCTGATGGTGTATGTGCTGCACTGCAGAGGGAAGAAGCGATGGGGCGGGTGGTGCTGCTGGGGCGGTGGTATGAGGGACACTGTCACGGAGGACTGGGGACATCAGGCTCCTGTCCCTCCCTGCCAGCACCCAGCAAAGCCAGGCAGTGTCACTGCATGGCTGGGAGAGCCCAGGGCACCAGCCACCTCCCTGGGCCTCGGTGACCACTTCAGGAGCAGGGGGTCCTTGTTGGTCGTATGAGCAGGGGACCTCCAGGTCCGTGTCCGCCCTGTGCCACTACATTCACCTGTGCTGGGGCGTCCGAACTGGGACGTGGCCAGGGCTGGCGCTGGGGGAGCGAGGAGGATTTGGGACCCTGTGGCCCTTGTTTGCAGCCAGGCCTGTTCACTCCCACTCACCAGCCCCGGCGAGGCTCCAGCCACTTCCCAGCCGGCACTGAACTCTCAATAGACACGAAAGCCATATTTGTAGGGAGCTCTGGAGACGCCGTGGGGTGGCAGTGGGGCAGGGCAGAGGACGGTCTGTGTTGTGCTGTGTTCTTGTATGTACATAAAAGGGAGACAACGAATGTTGATGTGACTTTATAACCTTTCTAATATCCTGTGCTAATCTCGGAAAATAATCCTATAAATATATCTGGATTACACGTTACCTGCCTGCGCGTCTCTGCTTCTGCCTGCGTGTGCTGGATGCTGCCAGGGCCTGGGAGGTGTCATGGCTGTGACACCCCCCCCAGGGTGACGGGGAGCTGGGGGCACCGAGGCCAGGGGAGGGGGCAGAGCTCAGCCTGGTGGGCGGACACGGCTCACCCTAGTGCACAGCATGGGAGGGGTGCAGCTGAGCCTGTCACACCGTCCATGGAGGCATAGCTCAGGCCCCCTCAAGCCTTGACCCTCGCCCCGCCTCAGCCCCCCAAACCATAGTCTCCATCAGCTGCCTGTCCCCAGACCCCCTGTGCAGACCCCTAGCCCTTTCACCCCCAAATCCCCCCCCCTAGTCCCCCAAACTCCCACTGCAGACACCCAGACCCTGACTCTCAGCTCCTCCCAAATTGCCAGCTCTGCCAAACAACAGTAACCCTCAATCCCAACCCCCTGAGTGCCCCCCAGCCCCACCACCCTCCATGAATGCTCTCACCAGGCATGAGGGCCACCAAATGCCCCCGGCCCTTGCCAGTCCCCTGCCAAGCTGGTCTTGCTGCCCACTGCAGCCCAGGGAGCCCATGACTCAGCCCCAGTGCTGCAGGGTGACCTCACAGGATCTGGCCTCTCAGTGGGGCTTTTGGAGGAAGACCTGCAAATTTCCTTGCTGTACGGGAGCTGGAAAGTACCGAGTGTCTGGGCTGCGCTGCCACAGGGTCCCCTTGGCAGCTGCCCGCATCCTGCACCGGCAACACCCACCCTATGCCCCAGAGCCAGGCTTGCACACAGCCGGCATCCCTGGGATGAAACTCCGCACGCGCCTGAGTCCTGGCCAGCAATAGAAGCATCCACATAGGCAGGGTGCCTGTAAATACAATTCCTAATTAAAGGTGTTCTGCCAAGAAGTGATTGTTTCCTGCTCAAGAAGTTGCAGGCTTGCACTGGCGGCTCGCTGGCTTTACTGGCAGCAGTGACCCGCCTGTTTCCTTCAGGCCCTGGCAAAGGGTATTACCAGGCCAGAAGGGCAGGGCTGCCTATTAAGGAGGCAGCTCTTATCTCCTTACTGCAGTCCTTCGCCTCCCTTTCGACCAGGAGGAGCGGAGCCTGAGGGAGAGCGAACGGAGCAGGCACCAACTGTGCAACACGGCTCTTGGAGAGTGTGCACCACTGTGCGTGGTGCCCATTGGAGAGCGTGCACCCCTGAGCATGCACCGCTGGGCACAGCGCCCTGCGGTGAGCGCACGTGGCTGAGCGTTGGCTGCCACGCACAGCACCCACTGAAGACCTCCGAACACAGAGGAGCAGGTGCCGTCCTGGGACACACATCATGGGCAACTGTATCCCGGTGGTGAGTGCCTCTCCCATCCCCTGCCACTTCTCCTCAGCGACTTCCCATCCTGCTGGACGCGAGGGCTGGGGCCGTGTGGGTGCACAGTGGTGAGCAGGGCCACAGCTCGCATTGGGTGCTGCCAGCAAACACTCACTTGCAGATGGCTCGGTGGGGTTTGCACCTACCTGCTGCAGGGTTTGCACCCACCCGCTGGGGGTCTGCAACCCTCCTTTGAGGCTGTAAGAAAATTTGTGCTTCCATGCACAGCGGGGCCAGCCCAGGACAATCCCATGCCCCCGAGGGCACGCGGCCTCCCCTCTCGCCGCAGCGTGTCCCTGCCTGATAAATTGCCCTGCTTAACCTGCACCAGGGCTGTACATGAATGCCCCAGCACCAGCAGGGCAGCAGCTCCATGGCAGGGAGCAGCAGCCCATCAGAGGGAATGTCTCAAGCAATGCTGTGGGATGCAGGCACCTGCGGTCAGCTGGGTACATCCCTGCCTGACACCCACTGGTCTCATTCACAGAGCCCTAGAGTCCTAGAGAGCGAAAACTCCCTGGACCTGCTGGAGATCATGAGCAACTTCTCCTATGATGACAGTAACGTGACCTTCCTGGACTACGACGCTGCGCCTTGCCACAACCAGTACTGTCCCCTCTTCCAGCGCATAGCCCCCACCTTCCTGGCCATCACCTGTGCCACAGCCATCCTGGGCACTGGGGCACTGCTGGTGGCACTGGCCAAGCGGCCTCATGCTTGGTGCTGGCCCCAGAGCCGAGCGCTGGTGGCCCAGCTGGCAGTGGGGACGGGTCTCTTTGCCGCCCTGCTGCCGCCGGTGGCAGTAGGCATCAGGCAGGGCTGGCGACTGGGCACAGGGCTGTGCAGGCTCACCCACCTGCTGTGGTACTGGAGCCTCTTCGCGCAGGGGCTGCTGGTGGGCAGCGGCTCCTGCAGCACCGCCTGGTGTCGCTGGGATGCCCGGAGCCAGCGGCTGGCTGTGGCCATGTGGGCCGGGGCACTGCTGCTAGCAACGCCAGCAGCTCTCGCCAGTGGCACGGTGGCAGCCGCGGAGACGAGCTGCCTCCGCCGGAGCGTGGACATCCTCTCCCCAGTGTACCTGCTGCACCTCGCCCTCTGCTTCTGCCTCTTCCTGCTGCTGCCAGCAGCACTGCTGGTGGCCACGCTGGCTGTGCCGTGGCTGAGGTCAGGCTGGAAGCTAGGCATCAGCGCGAGCTGGCTCTTCTTTGGGCTCTGGGTGCCTTATGGCATGGGGCTGGCCGTGGATTTCCTCCTGCACGCCCAGCTGCTGCAGCCCACCTGTGGCACCTTTGAGCACTTTGACTACGTGCTGGGGCTGAGCGAGGGGCTGGGGGTGCTGCACTGCTGCCTGGGGCCCGCAGCACTGCTCGCTGCCTGGCTCTGCCGCCGCAGGGCAGGTGCCAGTGGCAGCGGCTGAGCTCCTGGAGCTGCAGCCGCAGGCCTCATGCTAGCCCCTGGCACCCCGGCCCCCAGCACAGTCCCCTCTCCCCACAGTGTCCGCACCAGCCCCCCAGCTTCTGCCACACAGGCAACGCTCCCCCAGGACCCAGGAGAGAGCAACACGGGCCCATTATGTGCCAGGCTTGGTGCCACTCCTCCCTCCATCCTCTTCCTTGGGGTCTCAGCCCCACTGTTTGCGGCCAGACACCCCAATTTGCTCACAGGAGAGAGCCCTGGGGTGCCTCAAGCATCTCCCCAAGCCCCCGGGGGTTGTCAGCCCCAGGCTCCTGCACACCTCTGGGGACCCCCAAGGCTCAACCCCCGCCTACCCAGCTCCACCGGGAGATTTCAGCAGGCAGAAAGGGCAGTGGTGATGTGAAGCGACGGGGGATTTTTCACTCCCTCCTGACAAGCCGAGATAAGAGTCATGTCCGAGATCAGCCAGTGGGAATTACATACAATATATACGTCTGTCAGAGCCGCTCACCAAGCTCAGTTAATGGCAGGGGCCGGGAGGTGCGGGAGGGGCACGGGGGCTGACATCTATCACCTTTGGCCAGGCTCCCGCAGGCCGAGGGATGGGAAGTGGGAGGTGGTTCTCTTCATGCCTCCAAATTAGCAGGAAGTGTTCATAATGAAGTTCTGCAGTCTATGAGCGGGAAGTGGGGTGATTTATATCCAGCGCTGGAGGCGTCTGAGCCATGGTCCACAAGAGATGGCTGCATGCAGTCACAAGGCACACAGGATGCGAAATGGGTGTGGCTGGAGAGCTGGAGGGGGGGCGATGAAGGGGCATAAGCCTGCGGCCAGGACCTGCCCCCCCGCGGGGTCCAGGGCCTGGCATAGCAGCGCACAAGGAGACGCCCCGGCTGAGCCAAGCCCTGAGGTTCCTGGAGGCTCATCCCTGGTAAATTCAGGGACAGACTCAGTGGGGAACAAGCCCACATTTTCTTCCAAAAAGGGGGTGGCCACCCACAGCTGAGAGCATCTCGCTGTTGCCCTGCCACCTATCTCCCCCAGCATACCCAGGCAACGGCCCCACATCCCCAGCCCAGACCCCCTGACCAGCACCATCATTACGGAGCCCCGAGCAGACAAAATCCTCCCCCTTCCCAACCAGTCTACACACGGGTGGGGGCCACAGCATGCAGTGCGCCAGCCCCATCTGCTCGCAGGACACATGGACGCTCTCAGAGGATGCCCAGACCATGGACACCCTCGTAGGACACCAGACCCTTGGCCACTCAGCTTTGCTGCGGTTTCTTCTGCCACCTGGTGCCCACGGCTCTGGCTTCAGGCTCCGTCCCTTTGGCCAGGACGAGAGCCACAAGTCAGGGCGAGGGGGCCGGGGTCAGCTTTCGCTGTTCCTCTCAGACGAGCCGGGATCAAACCGGGTCGCTCCCACAGGGGGTTTGCCCAGGGGAGGGTGACACGAGAGGACCGAGGTGATGTCACGTGGCCGGGGTGCCCCCGCTGCCCCAGTGGGCACGCGCCTGGGGCACAGCTCCAAGGGGAGCCCCGTGCAGGCGGGTGACCTAGGGTCTTGCGACACGGCCCCGTGATGGCATGAAATTGCTCCTCCTGGGCATGCCAGGCTGCTGGGGATGGGATTGGGGGGAGGCGGGTCCCCTCCCACCCTTCAGCCCATAAACCCGGCGGGCAGCAGCCCTGCACCAAGGCGGCTCCTCTCCCGGCATCAACCGCAGCGCCTGGAACCATGGGCCAGCTGCAGCTCTGGCTTGCTGTCCTGGCCGTGCTCTCGGGGATCGTGGCCCAGGAAGGTAGGGGCAATGCTGGGGGACAGGAGCTGGCACAGGGTGGGGCAGGTCCAGGGGGGACATGGCAGCAGCTCTTGGAGCCCTCTGCTTTGTGCCAGAGCCCGGTCAGCAAGGCTGGAGGATGCTGGAGCAAGGCTGGGGTCAGCAGAGGGGCCGTCAGGGATGCAGAGTCACCCGGGGCAGGGGGAAAGAGGAAGGCTCAGAGGCAGTCACAGGGGGCTGCAGGACTCCCCAGCCTCCTGCCACATCCCCTCTCTCATCCCCCAGACCTGTACCGAAAGGTGTTTGTCTTCCGGAAGGACCCCAGCAATGCCTATGTGGTGCTGAGGGCCAAGCTCGAGCAGCCGCTGCAGAACTTCACCGTGTGCCTGCGGTCCTACACCGATCTGACCCGGCCCTACAGCCTCTTCTCCTACGCCACCAAGGCGCAGGACAACGAGATCCTCCTCTTCAAGCCCAAGCCCGGCGAGTACCGGCTCTACGTGGGGGGCAAGTTCGTCACCTTTCGTGTCCCCGAGGGTGGCAGGGACTGGGAGCACGTCTGTGCTAGCTGGGAGTCTGCCACTGGCATCGCCGAGTTTTGGTTCAATGGGAAGCCCTGGCCCCGCAAGGGGCTGCAGAGGGGCTACACAGTAGGGGTGGAGGCGGCTGTTCTGCTGGGGCAGGAGCAGGACGCCTTCGGGGGTGGCTTCGACGTCTACAACTCATTCTCGGGCGAGCTGGCTGACATCTACCTGTGGGACATGGGGCTGTCCCCAGACAAGATGCGAGCCGCCTACCAGTCCCTGCGCCTGCCGCCCGCTGTCCTGGCCTGGAAGAGCCTGAGCTATGAAGTGAAGGGCGATGTGGTGGTGAAACCCCGACTCCGGGAGGTGCTGGGGCCATGAAAGTCGGCTGGATCCGGGGCTGGGACAGTCTCAGCCCCCGCTCTCCCCTCCCCATCCCCATCACCCCTTTGCCTCTACAACCTGCCAAGAAGAAGGTGCCATCTGCATGCCCCAGCCAGGGAGCTCCAGTCGGGACAGGGCTCGGACAGAGCTGGGGAGAGCTGAGGGCACCGCTCAGCCTGGCAGGGTCCCCCTGAGTGCCAGCACCTGCCACTGACCCACCATTGATGCCTGGGGTACCCTTTCCCTTGCCCATACCCCCCCCCAAGCTGCCCCCGCGGCCAGCTCCCATGTGGGCAGGATGCAGATCCACCAGCTCCAGAGCTGCCCAACCACACACAAAACAGCAGAAGTGATTAGGGACAGGCAGGCAGGGGCTCAGCACAAGCCCCTGGGGCCATGGGACCTGTCCCGGATGCCCGTCCCCATGCACACCCACTGTCCCCAGGGCTCCCTGCCAGCCCGCGGGGTCTGCAGGCTCCCAGGCAGGCAAACCAGCCCCGGGCCCCTCACCAGATTGCCAAACAGCCCTGCAGGTCAGTGCCCCAAACACTTGGGGACAAAGATCACAGGTGAACGTCACCATTGCGTAGCCACGCTCACCCCGGCACAGACCCTGAGCAGCCATAGGGCTGCGGCAGGGTGGCTCTGCTGTTCCCCCTCACCATGGAGGTGCCAGCAGCAGGGCTCAGCAGTGCCATGGGGCAGCTGTGGCTCTGCCTCCTCACCCTCACAGCACTTTTTGACCTTACTGCCCCGAAAGGTAGGGGCGGAGGGACTGCTTTGGGACCCCCTCCGGGTCCCATGGAGAGAGCAGAATGTGCAGTGGGGAGCAGTGGGGAGCAGCGGGTGCAGTGAGTATAGGGGGACATGCCGTGGTGGTGGCAGTGGGGAGCAGTGGGGCACCCTGAGCACTGCAAAGGGGTGCAGCAGGTGCAGTGAGGGGTGCAGTGGGTGCAGCGAGGGTACAGCAAGGGTGCAGTGGGTGCAGGGGGAGGAGCGGAGGTCACACTGTAGCTGCACAGTGGAGGAGGCACCCAGAACAGAAGGGTGCAGTGGGGTCAGCGCAGTGTGCTGGGTGTGCAGGGGGGGTGCAGCAGGGGTGGGAGGAGGAGATGCGATGGCAGTGTAGTGAGAACCAAAAGGGGCACCCTGAGCACCACAAGGAGTGCAGCAGTGAGGGGCAGCAGGGACACAACACCAGGTACCACGAAGAGTGCTGCAGGGCTGCGGCAGGGGCAGCGACAGGGACGTGCGGCTCCCACAGGCTGGTGTAGTCGGGCCCCATGGGTGGGGCAGGGGGGACAGGGAGACCCCCCCCCAGCCTGGCCCTTCCCTCTGGGTGCTGCAGAAAAAGTGATTGCCCAGATCCAGGCTCACCCGCCGGCACCCACCCTGTACCACCAGCTGATGCTCTCCTGCAAGGTCACAGGGGACGCCAGGTAAGGCACTCCCTGCCCCTTCCACAGCCTCTGGCACAGCACCAGCGTGGGGCAGGCAGCTCCAGTATCCCTGGCCCCATGAGCAGCTGGAGAAGAAGGGGCTGGGGGGGGAGCACCATGATCGCTCCGTGTCCCCCCACCCCATGGCATGGCCACCCCGGGGTGTCCACCCACCTGAGTGACACCTGGCCTGGCTCAGCCCCCAGGAGTTCCTGTGGGAGAAGGAAGGAAGCCACGACCCCCTGCAGAAAGGCCCTGACAACATCCTTCTCTTCCCCTCCTTCAACAAGACCCATTTGGGCACCTACATCTGCACAGCCACCGGCTCACTGGGCACTGCCGTGGCCACCTACAACCTGTGGATAGATGGTAGGGAGAGGACCAAGGGGATGCCTGGGGACAAAGGCTCTTCCCCTCCTTCCCACAGCTCGTCCTCACCACCCCGTGCCCATGGCACCCCATATCACAGCCCACATGTGGCCGGTTTTAGTGGTGCAATCCACCTCCGGGTCTGATGCTGGAGGCCACCTCCAGGTTGGTGGTGGCTTCCTCACTGGCACACTGCAATCCTGTTTCCCCTTGGGGGATTTGGCCGGATGCCTTCACCGTGGCAGGAGCAGCCACCTCTTTCTCACCTATCCCAGACCTGCTGGACAACGTGTTCGTGTTTCCCCAAGAGACCAAAGACTCCCACGTGCTGGTGAGGGCGAAGCCAGAGCAGCCGCTGCAGAACTTCACCGTGTGCCTGCGGTCCTACACCGATCTGACCCGGCCCTACAGCCTCTTCTCCTATGCCACCAAGGTGCAGGACAATGAGATCCTCCTCCTCAAGCCCAAGCCCGGTGAGTACCGGCTCTACGTGGGGGGCAAGTTTGTGTCCTTCAGCATCCCCAAGAGCATCACGGTGAGCGAGCATGTCTGCGCCAGCTGGGAGTCCACCACCGGCATCGTGGGCTTTTGGTACAACGGGAAGCCCTGGCCCCGCAAGGGGCTGCAGAAGGGCTACACGGTGGGGGCGGAGGCGGCCATCGTGCTAGGGCAGGAGCAGGACGCCTTCGGGGGTGGCTTTGACGCCCAGCAGTCATTTGTGGGGGAAATGTCGGTTGTGTACATGTGGGACATGGGCATCTCCACCTCGGGGGTGATGGAGGCCATGAACAACAGACCTGACAAAGCCCCCATCTTCGGCTGGAGAAACTTCCCCTACCAGATCGTGGGTGAAGTCTACCTGAAGCCCTGACGCCTGGCACCGGGAGTGGGGTTGGTGCACTCCTATGCTCTCGCTAAGGGTGGCTGGCAAGCGCTGGGCGAGCTGTAATTGCCGTGCGGGCTGTGTCCCCGCTCCCTTCCCTGCTGTGTAACCCCCCGCAAAGCCACCTGGCATCACACAAATGAAGAAATGGTTTTGAAAAGCAGCAATGGTCTTTGCTGGACACACTGAAGCCCACCAAAGCTTGGCATGGCTCAGGCAATTAATCCAGGCTCAGAAAAGTCATCAGGGTGAGGGTCCGCGCGAGAGGAGGAAGGGGGAAGGGGCTGCTGCCAGCCCAGGGGCCCCGCTCCCGTCCTGGGGACACTGGGGCCGGGCAAGGGGGACAGAAACAGGCACCCCCTTGCCCAGCGCTGGGGGACGTGCACCCCCGCCAGCCCCTGCGCACGGAGGGGGCCTGGGGCAGGGGTGAAACTCGGGGGGCCGGGCCGGGAGGGGCAGGGGCCGGGGCAGCCCCGG